GCTGACAATCAATAACTAAAGCACTGGTCTGAGTGGTCAGTGCCACCCACCTGTGACAGGAGAAGAGAAGACCAATCAGCCACCCTGGATGACCGTGATAGAAGAGCAAAGGCTTCTTGCCCGAGGATCATGGGGACAATGCTATGCCGCCTAGTTTTTCTGAAACAAGATTTTTAGGAACGTCTGCAGATGTAGCTCAGTGGTAGAGTACTTGCCTACCATGCGCAGACCCACAGATTCCACCCCCGGCACTCCCCAAAGAAGTTTTCCCCTGAAGGCTCACATCGAAGAGACAGACTTTTAGGAGGACAGATCTGTCTCCTCCTCTAGCATTGTGGGGAGAGAAGAGAGACTGCTCTATTGGACCGTGGAGGGAGGAGGTGTTAGGGTCTTGAGGGGTAGGCTCTGGCTGCCATGATGCCTCCCTGCTTTTAACTGTTGGAGTTTTTAACATGGCAAGGAGGGACCATCTTGTGGCCTCAGAAGGCCGCTGACTTGTAAACTTTACTTTGTGAATTTCCATCCCTGAAAAGTAGGTTTTGAACCATCTCTAGGTAGATTCTGGAGGTTTTTTTTCATAGAATGAACTTAAGCAAATTGTTACTTAAAGGATTTATGGCCATTTAGCTGAATTCAAGGGGCCCTCGTACAAGTCTTTGGCTTCCTCAGTGAGCTGGTGCTGGGCAACTTATTCCAGAAGGTGTCAAAGGACAGGGAAGGGGTGCCTTTCGGAAGTGTCTGGGGTCTGAGGTCCTAGATTCTGGCTATAGGGCAGCAGAGCAGCATCCACAGCCAGGCCCGGCAGCTGAGCTCCCATCCTGAGGTCCCAGCAGCAGGGGGCAGCTGCACTAGCAGCCTCCCTGCCCCCCTTCACGACCCCAAGGCTGGAACTGAATCCCAGATATCGGGCTCAGAAGCTCCTGTGCCCTCAATATAGATACACGCTGAGCTTTCAACGTGAAGAGAGGCGGAGACCCCCACCCCCAGCACTTTCCCACTGAGAAGAGACAAAAAGAGAGAGGAAAGGCCACTTAGGGTCTCTGACAAGGACACTTTCAGTTGGCTTTTCTCCTGGTATCACACTCCCTTCTGATCGGAATGACTGTTATCTAGAGGTTTCCAGAGCTTCAGGGAACATTCTGTCAAGTGGTGAGATTCTCAAGTTAATGTTTAACAATAAGCACAAATTGGACAAGAGTGAGGCATGGCGACCTAAGCTGGTCCTCGCTGTCACAGTCATTGACTCAATTTTTAAATACATTTTCTGCTTTGCAGTTATTGCCGTCCCCTGTGTTAGTCGTCATAATCCCGTGGTCATCCTCCGGTGGGATTCCTTTTGCAGTGCACATTAACTCCATCAGAGCCACTCTGCTTAGGACTACCTTTAATCGTTTCACTCAGAGGGTCGCTGGACCACCTTAAACGACCTTTAAAAGGCTTTCTAATATCCACAACGTGCAGATGACCGCATGGAAAGCTGGCTGCTGGAACTTTTGCAGCGGTCCTTTCACTTCCTAATTAATCATACTTATTTTTGAAATGTGTGTCATTTGGTGGGAACGGTGCACATGCTGCCTGGGGGAGGCACACAGCGATAAGGGCAGTGTTTAGCCAGTCTGAAAAACCATGACACACGCATTGCCTTCAGATAGCAGTTTAAAAACGATTTCATAACATAAAATTTGTATTTGCACAGGGTACTTATGTAAAGTTTATTTTTTTTTGATAGCTGTAAAACAGTTTAAATACTCAGGTTTTATGTATCAAGGTTAAACTGGATTCCTAGGTTTCCCGTCCCCCTCACCCCACCCCAAGTAATTTGTTAATTAAGGTCACACCCAGTCAATGCTTCTCTGGAAGACTTCTGAGCCTCCTTTGGGGTAGCCTGGTCTATGCTGACAAGCCATATGGCATGTGCTTTGGTCTGCTCAGGGCCCTTCTGTGTGGGAAATAGGACAAGGGACAAGGCCAATCTTGTTCTTGTTCTCCTCACAATGCAAAGCAATTTCTATAGGCAAAAAAAAAAAAAAAAAAAAAACTCCCAAAACAAAAACTATACTATATTGAACATTTAATAATGACTAGTAAAACAGTTTTGCAATAGTTTGCGGTTAGGACTATAATCATCCTGCAAATATCCTGGTAATTTTTAAAATATGATTGTATGTTACCAAATTGTTGTTGTCTACCAAATTATGCTATCTCCACCATTAAACTTTTTTGTTTGGCAAAATTACGCATGAAGTTTAAAACAAACTATACAGGGGAAGAAAGAGACATAGCTGTTCATTGTGCAGTATTTCATTTGTTTCCACCTTGGCTGAGCCTGGTAAGTCAGAGAGCAGAGGGAAGCCAGAACTTCGCTGGTTGTTGATCTGGGAATGCCAGAGAACTGGGTTATACAGAGAGGGAGATCCTGGATGTGACATGTGTGGTCCTTGCAGGCTGTCAAAGGATATTAACTCTATTTTGATAATTATGTTGATGGAAAAGGATTTCACTGATACTGATT